GATACATTCTGCAAAAAGTTCAGCAATGAGGGGTAGAGGCACAGGATTTAACTGACCCAGGTAGATGGTTGCTTTGAAAATAAAAATTCAAAAAGGCCATATGCAAAGACGACTTAAGCCCCACCATGAAGGTTAGGAAAGAGTTGTTAGTGATCGTGACTTACCAAGATAACATGTATTACACAGATCCATATCCTCACAGTCCAAGCAATGATACCGTCTGCCGGGTAACAGCGTACCGCATCCATCGCACGTTATTTTCACAACCAGTAACTCACAGAACTGTGCTACAAACATATGCATACGCTAATTGGAAGAAACAGAGAAGCAATGCAGATTAATCATAAGATGAACAAAATGATTAAATATTTAAGAAAATTCAATCATATGAGCACATGTGTAAGGTCTCACCACAAAATGAGTCACATAGTTAGAAAATCAAAAATTGAGTTTATATTATGGTATATATGATAGATCACATTATAAGCTTTAATTTGGTTTATGACCTTTAATTTGGTTTTTGAATGGCTTCCTTAGGATAAGTAGATCTAGAAATGTGAGCATTTAAAGTTTTGGTGTATAAGAACCACGTTTTGAGAAAATCGGCTTTAAAGATAAACTATCCTGTACAAACAATAGGACTAGAATTATAGAACATGCACAGAGAACACTGTTTTAGAAAGAAAATTCACTTAAAATGTATACTGTACAATCTTAAAATATAAATATCAAGTTATTTAAAAACTTTAAAATAAAAATGTTAAAATTTAGACTTTGAACTATTTTGTTGAATATCACAATAATGTGATTTCACCAACGATGCGTCTCATTTCGTGGTGAGAGCTCACATATGTGCAGCTATCATAAAAACATGTGCAACTATCACACAAGCAGGTACAGCTATCACATGACCAGGCACATGAACAGGTGGAGTCATCATAAGAGCATGTGAAAATTTCAATCATAATGTGCAACCACTGATCTTATATATATGTGTACCTATCAAAGGAACACATGCAACTATGAACACGAGCACCTATCACAATGAACTGTCACATTAACAATAGTAATCACATAAATATGTGCAATTATCACATGAAAACATGCATAACCATGAGCATGTGTAGGATAATCGCATGAACATGAGCAGCTATCTATGTGCAACCAACACATAAGCATGTGCAACTAACCAATGAGCACAAACATAAACATGTGCTAATATCACATGTGCAGCTACCACATGAACATATGCAGCTATCCCATGTTCAATTATCACATGAACACATGCAATTATCACATGTATATGTGCAATCATCACATGAATATATGCAACTATCACATGAGTATGTGCAATTTATCACATGAACAGATGCAACTATCACATGAGTATGTGCAATTTATCACATGAACAGATGCAACTATCACATGAAAACATGTAGGTACTGTATCACTTGGACACATGTAGCTATCATGCAACGTGTGCAACTATCACTTGAAACATCATCAACATACTCGTCTGGTCTCCAAATCTGGTTTATTTGATATCTGACCGAACCAGTGACGAAAATTGTCATCCTGGCACTCCTTAAACCACTCTTTCTGTTCATTGTAGTCATCCAATTCCTTGAGGTCATTGGGTTCATAGGACTGGTGACTATAGAGGCTGACAGCTCCTGGAATACAAAAACACATCAATTAGCGTACAATTTAAATTTCATTTTTAATAATAATAATGAAATTTATAATGCCAACTTTATTAAAGGCAGGGTGGACCAGATGTTGCACATTACAATAACATTCTCATCCCCTGAGGTCATGTCATGTCCTCTGCAGCCGGTAAACCAGCACACTTTCATCTGTCCATGACAAAGGCCAAGTGGACCAGTACACCTGGGTAACATCCTACTCGTCTAGAAAGATGTACTGGGTTATTTAAAGTTCACAGGAGTATTTGTGTACACTGAGCCTATGGCTTATAGTCCTTATGCGAGAAGACTTGTTCCACCACCAGAACCATAGGTGAGCTTGCCAAAATACTGATTTAAAATTTCAATATATTATTACCCATTGTCAATGAATCCACAAGCCAGCAGAAATGAATAGTTTTTTCATTCATTCATTCATTCATTTATCTGTCTGTCAGCCATCTATTAATTAAATTTTTTCTATCCATCTGTTGGTCCATCCATCCACTATACATTCATTTAATCATTTTGCCAAAACAATTTATATAATCTTTTAAGGAATCATGTTTTTTGGGTCATACATGGTTAATTGTAATGAAATTAAATGAACAAATAAATTTACAAAAAACTACTACTTATGATTAGAACAAAAGAGAATAGAATGGCAAGAACGGAATCTATCTCGAAAAGTACAATCACTAAATAAAATGATGTACACGTAAAAGCTGTTTGTATCAAACACGTGCTGTGTCTGTTCAAGGCACGTTAAAAGTTCTAATAGGGCGCCACCTACTTTGTGGCAGTACTGCATTTTTCATTCCATTGAACTGCATGCAAAACAATGACAGTCAGACTTTTTGCTATTTTACACACTTTGTTCAAACCTACAAACCAAAATGATCACTTACTCTTCGCTATGGTTAGAAGCAATCTGGGAATAGAATTTTCTGCTACAAATGCGAAGTCATACGGCTGCCAATCAACGTCCAGCAGATGGAGTAAACAAGCCTGAATACAGTCTACTGCCAGTTGATCCAATCTATGAAAATGGCAACAAGAACTGTTTTAGTAAACCTATAAATATATTATTTTTATCGTTATGTCCTTGAAAATAGTCTATAATATAAAATGCTTTATTAGAATCCAGCGCCGATATAATGGCTGTAGGTTGCAGTGCCCTTGCCCTCAACCGCTCAGCCATTCGACTCGTTGAATAGTCGAGCGGTTAATATTGGTGAGCTAGAGTTCATTTTCTTATACTTACCGGCCATCTGGGGTTGTCCAGTTGGCTTGTAATGCATTTGCTAACAGCTGGACCAATGCATAGTATGCCTTACGAACTTTAGTCTCTAGTTCTAGACCACACCCATCGATAACAACCGCATAGTGACTAAAAGATATAAGAATAAAACACTGATATCCTTATTTTGAACATTCTATTGACTATGTTTTCCAAATAGGTAAATATTTAGGACAATGTTCTTTTTCCCATTTCACCATATGCATTACCAGGTAATATATGAAATGACTTCTATCTACATGCAATTTTATTTTAGGCACCCAATGTGACAGCCCAATTGAACATAGTCGTGAATACTAGAAACTTAAGTCTTCTTCTACTTTTTTTTCCCCAAAGTTATATCCTTAAAGGAATAGCATTCAAAACATTTTAAAATATTCATTATTTGCCAGTACATTTTGTGATATATTCTAATTGTTCGGCAAAAAGTATAAGTATGCATAAACATGTTTTGAGTACATTGAATTAAGAGTATTTATATTTCTATATACCATTTCTAATAAAATTACAAACAGTTTGGTATTTCATATATTTTTACACAAGTTATTAACATTGACATATAATCTTACACTAAATCTTTGTGCTGAGCTCGAAGCATTTCCTGCAAGAACTGCACACATGCTACATTGAAGAGGTGGGGGGTGCCATGAATTTCCAGGAATTTCAGAGCAAAATTATAACCGGATGCTACACGCTCTGCACGCTGCACCCTCTGCTCTAATAAGTCTTCAACCCTTGACATGGAAATAAAAGAAGATATTAATGAAAGCAATCAAATGAATAAACTCCTAACATGTAACTATCCACTGAATAATATCATTTATATTTATCTTTTGTGGTGGTTAATACTGCCTGTTCTACTTGTTTCTTTCTCAGTCACATTTTTTCGAAAACTGTTTTGATAATTTTCTAAACTTCAAAACACTTTTGAGTTAACTTCTACTCATAGAGACAATTATAAGTTCACCCTAATATAAAGATTGATCTCTGGGCTGGAAAAGCACAATTACTTTTACTCACTTTTTCCTTGAAAACCTTGTATCTTTCAAAAAATCTAAAACCAACTTGAATGAAGGGTACTGCTCAAACGTTGCTTCGCTATCAAACGTTCCAGGATGAGCAACTTTAGGCCGATTTTCTTTGCCGCCGACTGATGAAAATCTCCTTAATAATGCTTTCACCTGCAAAGAAAATGCAAATAATTGAATTAAATATTCAATCGTACATCACAACAAAGGAGAGACAAATGTCAATAAAAATTTGAATACATTTTTAATAAAGGAAGAAAAAAACATCCATATATCTATAGTGGCTTCTTCAGATGAGATCATGAATCTCATTGGCCAACTGGTTATTGATGAATTAGGCATTAAGCCTGTACAGACTATCAAATTTTACATGACATGCCTAAATATGGTAATGATAACATCACATCACGACCATATGTGGCTACATCATGTTTATATTTGGGCATAAACAGTTTTTTGACAAATAAAATTTGAAAGTTTGGATAGTTGCTAAGCTGGTAGAGCAACTGAACAGCGAAAAGTTATTCTTAGGTTCAAATTTTCAATAAAAATGATTTTTGTTACAAAAAACAAAACTCCCTAAAAAATCACCTTCATAACTGACAGAGTATTTCTCCATACCAATTTCATATGTCATCATCATTCCTGATGACATAATTAATGTCGAAATATTGAATCCTGACACGATGGCGTGCATTTCAATACTTGGAGTATGTATTATATTATCTTATCTGAGATTAATCAGTGGACCTTTTGGTTAATATCATATAATTAATTAGTAAATATTATGAATGTATGTTTTGTATATAGTACCTCTTCCACAAACTATGTTTAAATATTTATAAAAGCTTTGTAAACAAAATAAAAATCTATTTACAAATCGATATAACTACAACACTTTAAAATGGAATATGATACCTGAGGCTTTGGTTCAATCTTTGAAAGGCCACCAAACTCCATTAAAAACTCTGCCTTCTCTTTCCATGCTAATACTGAGAAAAAACAAATTAATGAAACATTCCTTCATTGTCTCATAATTAAGAATAGTAGTAAGAAAAGAAAATATGGATTTTAGAATGGGTTTCATTTGTTTGGAGGGATGTTTAAATAGCATGCTGGGACAGACAATTTGAATTAAGAGAACACTGGAAGAAGTACTAACCAACTAAATAGAGGGCGCCATGAGTGTTTTCCCTTTGACGGATACTGGCTTCATAAATTTCCAATGTTATTATTAGATTTTCAAATACAAGTTTCTTTTTAAATAAATAATTAGGCGCTTTATAACAAATATTGTTTTATGATTATACCAATATAAATTAATTGTCCTACGAAATCAGAAGTAAAATTCCAATCTTACTTGACATTTGAATATTTCAGCAAATTTTTAAAGCCTTAATTACCTGGTGCATCATTTGATTTTTCAGGTGAAATAATGTTCTCCGATGCCACAATGTGTTTCTGACGAAGATCCACCTGGAAAAAAAAAATATCAAAGAAAATGTTTTCATAAAATCATGTCACCTAAGATAAAATTTTCATTTTTAGCCTAAATTCAAAATATTTGAAATTAAACATCTTACCAGGCCCCAGGGGACCCACGGCAGTGGCAGTACTGACATATAACAGGTAAATCGCATAGTTAAAATTATTATTAAAATTTCTATTATTAATATAAAACCAATTATTATTATTATTATTATTATTATTATTATTATTATTATTATTATTATTATTATTATTATTATTATTATTATTATTATTATTCTAGAAGACACTTTAAAAAGGATAATATGTAATATTATACCTTTTATCCTGAAGGCAATTTAGGTGTTTGAAAGACCTTAAATTGCCTTGATGAGCAAATACAGATATATAGCAAACATTTGGAGAATTTTCCTCACAGCTGATTCCGCAACTAGGTTGTGTTTACATATTCTTAACAAGTAATTAATAATAAATCATTAAAAGAAATGATCATCTGTTTTTTGTTTGTTTTTTTTTACCAGAACTGGCCTGACCGTCTCTGCTGTTACATATGCTTCATGTACGCCTTCTGGAATAGCTGTCCCTTCAGCAGTTTCAACTGAAATACAAATCACACAATTCAGTAATAAGAATGCTCATATGTGAATAGATTATGAATTATAAGAATACTGTGTGAATTGGAATTGTAGTTAAGTGCTGTCCACACTATCAAACTATGACCACATTTAGGCAGGTCACATGTTTATATCAATAAAATATGGAAGTGTGGACAGGGATTTAAAAAACCCCAAAACAAGATACCAGATATACATAAAAAATAAGGTTCACCTTTTTCCAAATATTCATCCAACTGTTCCCTTAGCTCTTGAGTGTGCCATATCAATGCTGCAAACACTGCCCTCACTGTGTCACTTATAACCGGTCCACCCATATTTTGCGTTTGGTTCTTTTCAGCAAACCTATGAGAAAAAAATAAAAAAACATTTTCATTGTATGTATATAATGTTTAGTTCTAGTTAGTTACTCATCATCAATAAGAGAGCAGCTAGCTCAGTGAGAGAGCAGCTAGCTCAGTCGGCTAATCTGGTGGTAGCCGCTGTGTGTGCGCTGAACCGTGGAGATCTCTAGGTCCCCGGTTCAATTCCCATCGCTGCCTCTCCTTGTGTGCCAGCTAGAGGGCTGAAATACAAGTTACAATAGCGCACCGTCTTTCGGATGAGACGTTTAAGCCGTTGGTCCCGTGTGCATTATGGCCCACATGCACGTTAAAGAACGCAGTACACTCTTCGGAAAAGAGTAGGGGATTGTCTCCCGGTGTACTGCCCAATCACCACCAGAAGGACCCCACTGGAAATAAGTCTTCTTCTAGACTTTCGTGGGCTATCCTTGGTGTTTACACCGAATAAATCCAATCCAATGCCTGTTCAGCATCTGGATGAGACAACAGTTACAGGGGCTGTGAGATGGAGCAGTGCACTGGGGTAACCCCCCCTACTTGTCTTGAATGATGTACTGGGTTCATTATAGTGCACATGAGCCAATTTTGAACACTGGGCCTACGATTTATGGTCCCTATCCAAGAAGACTTGTTCCACCTCCAGAACTACAGGCGAGCATGCTGTTCGAACCAGCGCCAATATTATGGCTGTAGGTTGCTACGCCTTCTGCCACATGGCCATTCGACTCTCAATGTAAGGAATGGTTGGCCAAAGGAAGAATTTCAAAGAAGCAGATATATGTGACTTACTTTTTGAGTATTTCCATTGCTGTTTCTTCTCCCCCAATTAACTCCATTAGAAACTTATTGACAGTGGAACCGCGAGGTTCAGAAACCTGCAGAATTGCGTAGAAAATGTAATGTATTTGTACACATTGATAATATACTGCCTATACAATTTAATTCACTGAAAATTATAACTTGGGAACAAAGTGTTCATCATATTTCTGATTTTGAATACAGTGATATTAGTTATGTTGTTTGAATAACAAAATTTATCAGTGGCATGCATAATATGTAAACATTGATTTTTGCAAGTTTTGAAGATTTTTTTTGGTGATTTTAAGGTTATAAACATTGCTGTTATCATGTATGCAATTTTTAATTCATTTTTCAATATACTCACAACATTTTAAACAAGCTTATATATAGTCTGCAACATGAATTTTATTTAACTGTTTAATATTTTAACTGTTTTGAATATTAACGTTATTAATATTACCAGTCCTCCAGATAAAGAACGCGAGAATTTATTGACATTATGCCCAGCACGAAAGAGAATACTCCAGAGGTCGCCCTTCAAAAGTGCTTCTGTTGTGTTCTCCGAATCTGGCTGGTTGGAGCTGTCATCAATCTTTGGAGCCGTTTTCAGTAATTCTTGTTTAGAAAATAGAATGAATTAGCAAATTTGATATTTATATGAAATTACACCAGCATAATCATGTATTTCATTTATAATAATACATAAACATTACTATTACTATTATTATTAATACTGCATTATTTTTAATATTAAGCTTTTTCTTTCTTTTTTTTTTACCATATTTATAGCTGACCCTTCCAGCATATCCTAGAAGGTCAGCTAATATTCAGAGCCCCTTTTTTGAATAAATTAAATAAAGTGATGCTTTTATCAGCGACGTCCCTTAATAGAAATTCATATATTCTATAATACCTTCTTTACTTCGCAGAGACGTTGCACAGAGCATGCCCAGAAGTTTGCTTAATCCCAGCTGGAGGTCAACTATCCACGTTAATGTCAGATCCGGTGATCCTTTTGCAATAATCTTTTTCAAAACAAAACAATATGATAATAATTGAATCTGTGGAGGGTTGTAGTTATGGTAGGCAAAGGTAGATGGGGGCCAGGCCCAGCCTTAAGGTTTTCAACCTATTTTAAATCTAATCTCATGATTTCCCACCCACCTTAATTAACCCCCTTGCAAATCCTTAAAATCCACATTTACTATTAAGAGTTTACCAATAAATGTCTACCAACCGCTCTTTATTTGACAAAAAAATGTTAAATGCCTAAATATAATGATGATGAAATCGCATCATGAGCATATTTAGGCACAACATGACTAGTATGTGCATACAACAGAAAATGTTATAGCCTAGACAAAGCTATAGCTACAACCTTGCTACATTTTCTTCCTTTCATGGTGGTCTGCCTTTGGGTAGATCTGTGGCTTCAATTTTGTTTATTACTCTGTGTCCTCTGATCTTTTTGTAAATTCTCCATACAAGTATTCAATTTATCAACATTAAAATATTAAAAGAGAACTAGCAAAATGATTTTTTGTTCTAGAGGAGATTTTTGATATGCCACTAATAATAGAATCAACATTAAAATCGTTTTTTGGCAATTGTTTATGAAGTTATAGGCCACTATATACGATTTTACCGTGACGTCACTGGCGAAAAAGTAATAAAAAAAATCGTGTAAATAGCGCTGCGTAGGGTATTTGCTGCGTACGATCTTTATGTGCATGCTGTAACCATGGTTGTTGTAACTTGCATATAGGCCTATAACTGCATCAGCGGTTGTCAACATAAGAGTTACAGCATGCACGCAAAGATTGTACGCAGCGGATACCCTACGCGGTTTTATTTACACGATCTTTTGTTACTTTTTTCGCCAGTGACGTCACAATTAAATCGTATATAATGACCTATAACTCCATAAGAAATTGCCAAAAAGCGATTTTATGGTTGATTATATTATAAATGGCATATCAAATTTCCCCTCTAGAACAAAAAATCATTTTGCTAGTTCTCTTTTAAGTAGGAATTTGTTTAGATTTTGATTCTCCCACTCGGGCATGGTAACCAAGATTCACAATACTCAATTAAATAACATTTTCTGGTGTTTGCTATGGTTGTCCTCTAAATAGGATGTTAAATATACAGCAGAGCATTTACATTTTACATTACATTATGTGGACACAAATAATAAAACTACAAAAAAACAGAGTAGTTGTTATCTTCCTTCATTGTGTGCAACCACAGTTATTGAAACAAGAAACCAAGAAAAACTCACTGAAAATTTGTAGCCCCATTCATTTTGACTGCTATCAGAATGAAAGACGAATTGTAAACGAGGGCCTCCTTTAAATGAAACTTTCAGTGGCCACTTCTCTGTGCCAACCTTTTGATCATAGCGGGTCACATGACCTCTAAAATCTGTAAATTCAAGAAAGTCATATCTGCCAAAAAAAAAAAAGAAGAAAGGTAAGTATAAGATTTGAATAAATATTAATTTATACATAAATATTTGTGGATTTATTTATAATAAGTATTTGAGAGAATCAAAATAGATTTGAATGATGGGATAAAACATTGAATCATTACGGACCTTCTTTCAGTCTCACAGCGCGGATCGAACGTTACATCAAACACTTCAGCACCTGGGCAGAAAAACACCTGTATTGTGTGCTGATTGTCACCATAATTATGCAAGGATTCCACGTTCCATGTGCGTAACGTGACCGGAGTGTTTGATTTATTACACGTACTGGCAACCTTTTACAAAAAAAAAAAAAAAAAAAAATTATTCAAAATTCTTTATCTATCTGTCATTTTTAATTATTTACTTTACAATATCAGTCTGACAATCAGTCAGCTTGTCTGTTAAGTATACAATTAGTCTGTCTATCAGTTGATCAGTTTTATAATCAGTTAATCATTTATAAATCAGTCTGTATAATTCAGACAATCAGTTATTCAGTCCTTCAATCAATCTATCAGTCTTTCAACCATTCACTCAGTCTACCTGATAGTCTATTAATCAGCCTTTCAATTTTATAATCAGTTAATCATTTATAAATCAGTTTGTATAATTCAGACAATCAGTTATTCTGTCTTTCAATCAATCTATCAGTCTTTCAACCATTCAATCTGTCTACCTGATAGTCTATTAATCAGCCTTTCAGTTTTATAATCAGTTAATCATTTATAAATCAGTCTGTATAATTCAGACAATCTGTTAATCATTCTTTCAATCAATCTATCAGTCTGTCAACCATTCAATCAGTCTACCTGGTAGTCTATAAATCAACCTTTCAGTTTTATAATCAGTTAATCATTTATAAATCAGTCTGAATAATTCAGACAATCAGTTAATCAGCCTTTCAATCAATCTACCAGTCTTTCAACCATTCAATCAGTCTAACTGATAGTCTATTAATCAACCTTTCAGTTTTATAATCAGTTAATCATTTATAAATCAGTCTGTATAATTCAGACAATCTGTTAATCATTCTTTCAATCAATCTATCAGTCTGTCAACCATTCAATCAGTCTACCTGGTAGTCTATAAATCAGCCTTTCAGTTTTATAATCAGTTAATCAGTATATCAATCAGTCTATCATTCAATCAGTCGACCTGATAGTCTGTTTAAATCAGTCAATCAGATTTTGTGAATACTTACCTGGATAAACCGACTAATTGTTCAAAAACCAGAAAACTTACCTACACAGATGGATCTGAACAACCAACGCCATGGATGCCTGGGTCAGACTAATCCATTCTTTTTTGAAGGGGTGTTACGTTTCAAGAACAATGACAATTAGTCGGTTTATCCTGGTAAGTAATAACAAAATAGACTGTATATACCTCAATATGTTGTGCACTAATCTCTAGGTCCTTGAGCTTGCCAGATATTTCAAGAATATCTTGGGATAAGCTAAGATTAGTGATATCACTTGCGACAAGTTTCAGACACAAAATCTATAAAAGAAAATGATTTCTTTGAACTAATAACATGATCATGTTTATGCATCAATCACAGGTTGGTATAAAACATTTACAAATATTATTAACGAAAGAACAAAACAATCCTAATGACAACCATTAACATCATTGTTGTTAAAGATTAAATTAATGAGTAATAAATTCTATATTTCAAAATAATTGGAAGGACAACATTAAAATAATCATAAATCATAACTATAATCATAATTATTTTTCTCACCAGCTGACGAAATGTTGTAGCAATGAACGATGACTCAACCTTCTTGAATATGTCAGGATCATTGGTTTCAGAAATAACCTCAAATGCTTCCTTAATGCATTTGCAGTGGCTGTTGACATCTAGAAAAAAAACCAAAAAAAAACACAATGTTTGTACTGAACCACTGAAATTTGACAAAAAAAAAAGGTTGTATGTCCATATATAGCCATGATGTGCCTTATACATGTCACATGTTTTGACATAGGGCTTTAAAGAAGAATGAGAAAATTTTAATTGGCATGTTATAACAATTTTCTTTAATTACACACTACATCAGAATCGCACCAACCAGAATTCCAAGTACATTAAACGCATGTTAATCAGTAATTGTGATATAAACACATGTGTGAATAAAACATATAAAGGCTACGTTCAGAATTGGAGATAAGCCAGGCTTGAGTTAAGCCCGGCTCAATGTTAAGCCCGGCTTAACTTTGCCGGGCGTTCAGACTAATGGGTGTAGCCAGGCGAGAATTTGTACGCTCGCTCACAGCGTACGTAATTGAATGCTGATTGGTCATTTCGTCACCTGAAGTCAATGCAAGCTCCCCGCAATAATTAAAGTCCAGCTTAGAAAAGTTAAACACGGTGGCGCGCCAGGCCTAGTTACTATAGGAACACAGCCCGCCTTGAGATAAGCCACCTAGTTCAGAATGGCGGGTGGATAAACCCTGCGAGTTGAGCCGGGATTATCCACCTAGTCTGAACTAAGCCTACCACATATAAACACATGTGAGAATGGCAATTCTGATTTGAATACTCACATTGGCAGATGATATTTTTGGCGGTATCTTGATGGCCTTCTCCAGCCTGTAGTCTGCTTCTACACCATAAAACTAGGCTACCTTGCAAGGCATTGAGCAGGCTGCTAACGTACGACTCCTTAGCAACACTCGCATCATTACCCTCCTCAGTCATTCGAATAAACTACAGAAATAAATGAATTCCATGACATGTTAATAACATCATTTGCATTATTTACTGTCCTTTTACTGTCAATTACTTCCATTATATCTTTCTTCATTTCCGTCATGGGTTAAATGTGATAAAGTCAACAGACAGATTAAAATATCTAGGGCTGTTTATACATTCACAGTAATTAGAATAGATTCACAAGATAAACATAATAATCGTCAAACTGGAACATTGTAATCAAGGTATAATCATAAAGGATAAGAATCTGGAATGGGATGGAATTGCAATTTTTCAATTTCTGAAATAAAATTAGAGGCCAAGCCCAATAATTACACCTGCATGGCTCATCAAAGCATTTTAGACATGGCGGAGTTATATTGGATGTAGTAGCTTTTTTTTTTTTTTTAAAGGGTTCATTGCTATTCTTTTAATGTGTATTGAAAAATTGCAGGTGTAGCCATCTCAACTCTGTTTTATAAATATTCAATTCACAGCCTAGTAAAAAGAAAATCAATCATGAGTTTACAAACCTCTTTTAGAGACACCATAAGAAGTGTTTCCATTACATTTAAGGTTGTTGTGAAATCAAAGTCCTGAAAAAAAAAAAATTTTTAGTTAATAGTATTATGAGTAGCTTCAAACATATTCTAGGAGTGATGTGTTGAACTACCTGACATGTTATTGTACCGAATACACAGTACGTTCCCCGATACTAGCGAAAAAAAATTGCTGGTGATTCTAGTGGGAGTGGAACCCATGACCTCCAGATAGCTAGCCTGGTGTCATAACCACTAAAACACCAAACTTGCGCTTAATGAATAATGTTGAATAAGATACCCAAGTAGCAGCGGGTACTGCAAATGCTATTTCAGCAAAATTCCATGTGTGATGTTCTACCATACCTGACATGTCATTGTACAGAATACTCACTATGTTTCCAAACACTTGGTTAACTGCAATTTTATAATACAAATTTTAACCACCAGTAAATTATAAAGATAAACTCAAATTTTAATTTTTGGTGGATCGGATGGCAGATCAAGGAGTCCTGTGGGGTCAACAGAACTGAAGTAGTTACAGAGTGACTGGAAAACAAGACTAGTTGCTGGCTTGTCATCAATCTAAAGAAATTGAAACAATAAGATTGAAAATGACAAGCAAATAACAATGATAAGCCTGATTCAACAGGCAAAGAAAAAACACACATAGAAAGTATAAAAAATCATTTAGATTAAGTGCAATTCAAATTACATATGTGATGCAAAATTTCTATGAAGTTTTTTCTAGAAAGCTTTATCAAACAATTTAAAATTATATTTTTGTTTTACATTTAACACTGCTACTAAGAAGAGAATTGAATTTGTATATAAAAAAAATATAATTTTAAAATAACAATAATATTAAATGAATAAATCAATAAATGATCAATCAAATCTAATAACTGATCTATCAGAAGAGGGCCAGAAATACATGTGTGTTTAACAAGCACACATGTTGTCCAATAAATGCACATGTTTCTGTACATTTCAACATTATCATTTTGCGGGACCTTAACAACCATATCCAAGGGGCGGGCTTGGGAGAAAGGTCCATTATAATTGTTAACTGACCCATTCTGCATTCATCATTGTAAACAGTTTCTTCTTTCGCTCATCCTTATTTGGGAAGAACACAGCAGCTCCTAGAGTGTGTAAAAAAAAATCAGAAATATTATGAAATGCAAAGTACAATCTTTTGCGACCAGTAACATTAACAACATAAGTCCATGTGCCATAAATATTTTTATAATTAATATTATTATTATTATTATTTATTCATTTGGCCTAATTGCCTGGGAGAAACAAAAGCAGGAGATTCACTGTCACCAGGACATGTGACTCCTTGCTTTGTTTGGTTTTACAATATGTTTTGTACCATCTATTACTGCTTCCACTGCAGCCTCCCGGAGGAGTCCGGCCGGCTCTGGTGCATCTTTTGGTGTTTCATTAATGATGTCACACAGCATCTTGAAAAATGATTTGATAACCTCTTTATCTTCATCATTTTCATCATTGTTAGTCGCTGCATCAGTAGAAGGCTTGGGGGAAAAAAAAATTATTTATTTATTCTGGCATATTGTACACTTTTAGTATTCATGCACTAATTTTCAAATATATATTATAAATTGTAGAAGAATAACTCATAATGCACTTGTCAATTCTAGTCCTGGCTACAATGATCAACGTATAAATTACATAAATTTCGAATCTCAACCACAAAACAATGAGGACCGAGATGATGTGAGAGCTTTGCGTGACGATTTCTGAATCATGTATTTGACCTAATTTGTGTAAAAACTATGCCAGTAAAACCAAATAAGGCAAGGCAATCTGTTTCTACTACTACTGTATTAATTTTCTTTTTTAATTTCTGTTTTGATATTGAATATGTAAACTATGAAATTATCAATTACTCTTACAAAAAAATAATCTAGGCATTTGCCAAATATATCATCAAAATCTTAAATGCTAACCTTCTCTGCATTGGCAAGTGCATCTTTGTCTTTAAGGTTGTCCTTGATGTTCTGTTTCGTCAGATGGGGTATAAATGAGTGGAGCATGCGAATCATTAGAATCTGACTGTATTTCCACTTTTCATGGCTGCAAAAAAATTAAATAACAATTATTTGTAATGTTATCACTATCGAACGTTATCAGTACCCTCAGCATCAACAGCTTTCATCATTATTTTACTATAAATATTATAATTTTACAACACACCTAAATAGATCCCAGTCATTTGATTGGTTGAATTCGTACCACTTTTTCCCATTTCATTGGTCATCGTTGAAATTTTGTTCCATCGTGCATTTTTTCCGTCCACTGCACGTTGCCTATGGATACTAAATGACTTCAACCTTGAGTGGTTAAAAAGACGCATGACTGACTTTTTCCGGAAGGTTAAAATCCATGAATTGAAGTAGAGGTTATCACCTATAACCACTAAACTTATAAGACTACTTCTTGCTGAACTCGTCTTAGCGGTGTGTAATTTATCAGAGATTTTGCTTACTGTAAACAGCTGTAAAGTATTCTAATTGCATGGGTGATACCTCAAAAACTAGCCCAAAGTTGTGCAAAATTTGGGCCTTATTTTCCGAACTGCGTTGACAGATTTCTAGCCTAGCCCTAGGTAGGTTTTGCACCAAGGATAGACAAGCCCAGACTAGGGCCAGGCTGGGTAGGCCAAACCGATCTATTTAGGTGTGTTATAAAACAATGAATGTTTATTATTCGTGCAATGGAAAGAATATTTTCATTCGTTGAAAGATTGACTGTTCCATTCACCACATAAACATTCTTTATTTGTATAATTAACCATTATCATTATCATATCCTCATTATTCAATTATTATCATTGTAATTGTTATCAATCACATCAAAGCGTATAGAATTGGAAGAGGTTTGACGGCTCCGACTTTGTATGCACGCAATGAACGTTTAAAAACAGTATGAGATAGGGGGCTTCTTATTAGAATTCAAACAGATTTTGCTCTAAACTCGTTTTTTAAGAACATGCCCCTTCGTGGCAGTGCTTTTTGATATAGGATTACGTGCAAATGAAACCGTGTCAGACCTCTAGCAATTCTATACTCTTTGATCATATCATGACCCTTAAAATATTATCCTCATCATCATTATCCTCATAATAATAATAATAATAATAATAATAAACAAGCTCATCATTTTAATCATCATTTTTATCCTTATTCTCATTATAGTTATCATCCTCATAATTATCAATCATTTATCATTATCAATTCAATATAAAGTAGTTTATCTGTTCATACTTATACCTGAGCAACTTCTCATAATGTTTGAATATCATTTTGGTTGTGACACCTTCAAGTTCAATCAGACTGCCACGGCAAGCAATATCTTTACGTCGAATCATCTCCTATATTATTATAAATAGACAGTAAAAAATCAATACATATTTAATATTTTTCCAATACATACTCAACAATCAATATATTATCAACATAAACACTATCTTCAATACATATCAACACATAGCTGGTGAATAAATGGTAATATCCTGAAAAAAAAGCTCAAATTGAATTAATTGATAAAAAGTAAAAAAATGACAACTAACCAGATCCTGCCCAATGCTGCTAAGAAAATGCAAGATACGAACAAATATTGTCTCTGTTTTCACAGGAGCCTCTGAATCTGGCTTCAATGGAGCGATTTCAGACTACAAAACATAAAAATTGTAATGTATTTAAAAGAGAAAATGCTTCACCCTCACAAAGAAACACAGCCATATCACACCTGTACTTAAGAATCTACATTGGCTGCCTCTTGAACAGAGAATTACATATTAAATAGGCTTAAGCCACATTTAGAGAAAACACGATTACGACATGACAACACGATACAGATGCGTGCAGTGTTGAAGTATAGAAACTACGGAATGATATGTTGTTATCCAGTCATAATCGTATCTAGTGTAAATGTTGTGGCTTTACTTCTATACCATATTCACAATGACACAGCCACCACCTATCTCTCAAAACTCTAAACTAAATATCTCTATATGCTCCATCCCGCTGTTTTCCACTAGGCTGTTTTCCACTAGGCGAAATTCATTTGCACAAATTGAAAGCATCAGTTCATTTGCATGCGCATTCACATTTCTATCGGGGGTTTCCGCTTTACCAAAATCAGTAGTTACGACTGTTTCTACTTTTTGTAAAACTGTGGTGCACAGTAGCAGAGTAATGTAACTAAAACTGCCATGTGAGAAATAAATATGCTATATTGCATTTAGTTGCCATATAGTTTCATGAGTACGTGTGTATGTCAAAGGTCAATGCACATAAACTATTGTACGCTTTATACTATTACATAACATTGCACATATGAATTCAACATCTAAAAGCATTTTTTATTCAATTTTATGGATGCCCACAAAATGGCTTGTATGACTTGAATATTTATGATCATTAACCTCTGACAGAGTCATACACAAGCAAAACGACAAGATAGTTAGTTGTAGCAAAATTAAACTTTAGAAAAGTTTGCTCAAATTTAACATATTACCAGGTTAACATTTTCCAACATTGAATCTTTTCGTATGTAGCCGCTGAACTTGATGCCAATAATGCCAAGTTTTTCAGCACTTTCTGAGCGTGCTCCAAGAAATTTGATCAAAACGTAGCGTCCAGTGTGACAGACGTCCATTGGTACCTCAATTTCATTCCTTTAAAAAAAATTATTTAAAAAAAATCATTATGGTGCCTATCTAATATTACATTAGTATTAAAAATAAAACAAAAGCAGTCCAGAAAAGACTTTGGAATAGTAATGATTGATAAAAACACAACATGAAAAAATTCTTGAAAATTAAAGTTTGTTAATTTCTTATTTACCTTGGTATGTCAGGCCTGATTTTACTATTAATACTGACAACAGACGACCACAATATTCTAATTTAATTAATTTATAAGCCAATGAATACTCGCACACAGGGCTGAAACGTGAGCCACTTCATAGCCTATCAATAGTACAGGCTGGGGGTAACTAAGCAGCATCCCCCCACCCCAAGAATAATCGTCAGTGCGACAAACCACCTTCCAGTATTGAAACATCTGTATAATAATTACCAGTCATCATCGAATGCAAAATAAGCTATAGGATTATCAGGCAGTCCACCAATAGATGCTGATCTAAAATTAGAAAAAACAATGAATTAAAATTAACACAATACAATGCATTATAGGTTTCGTTTTGGTCAAAGAAAGTTCAGTAGTACCATAGAGTTGTCAAAAGTATTGTAGTGCACTCTCAAGCCCTGCCAAACCATCAAATTTAATTTTACAAAAAACATGTGACTTGCCCAAATATGGTCATGATGACATCACATCATGACCATATATAGGCCTAAATATCGTCATGATGACATCACATCATGACCATATATAGGCACATCATGACTATATGTATATATACAACATTTTTTTGTCAAAGAAAATTTGATAATCTGGATGAAAAACTGTTGTATGCCCACATACAGTCATGATGTGCCTATATATGGTCATGATGTGATGTCATCATGACCATATTTAGGTATGTCACATGTTTTTGTCAAATTAAATTTGATTATCTGGATTTTTGATAGTGTGGATATGACTATCAATACATTTGCCACCATCAGACGGGGACAGGATGCTGGTCCAGACAATTCTGGAATGGTGGCGCTGTTCAGGATGTGTGTGGACATTTACAGGCGATCAAAAGAATGCTTATTTGCTTCTGCCATATTTAGCTTTGTAATATAAAGTGGGTATACATAATGGGTGGAGCACACCAGAAGAATGGTAGAGCAAAAAATGCACAGAACATGGTCCCTGACCACGAAACTTTTTAATCATATATATGTGCTGTTTAGTCAAGCAGTATCATATACTGACATAAAAAATATATAATAATTAGTATGTTAATGTGCAAGCTGAAAATAAGACAGTGATTTACATATTACCTGATGCCATTCAATATCTTGTACTCTGTGTCAGTGAAATTATTGTAAACTGAAAAGCGGTCGATATGACGTTGTTGATCAAAACCTTCACTGTTAATAGTAATAAAATATGTATTTATTCATTTCATTTTCATTCAACAATGAGTGACTTGCCAAATTAAAGACAGAATGATTCCCTAAAAACCATGAGAGGTTGTGATGTCACAGATTTGAACACTGGACTCTGGAATAAGAAGCCGAGTACCTTAAACACCAAGCATGGATAGTATAAGTGCTGTCGCAAATATTTTACATGAAATGTTTCTTCAAAGGTTCATAGAAATAATATAAACACAGAAATATAAATAATATATACTGTTGTTTGATAATACATGAAGAAAACTTAACGTTTAGACTCAAAATCACTTAAGCCCATTGGTCTATGCTTAAGCACTAACCAAACTATCAAATTTTATTCAACAAAAACATGACTAAATATGGTCATGATGACATCCCATCATTGCCATATATAGATACATAATGACTATATATGGACATGGAACAGTTTTTTTGTCAAAGAAATAAGGACAAATTGCCTTACCTGTCATTGTAAACAAATACAAGTCCTGCTCTTGGTGCAATGTCACCCTTACTAGCCTGATGAAAAAGCAATAACAACATATTTATAGAAATTGTACATATACCACAACTAAATATATAAGAACATTTACAGTGTGGAGTTTAATAGATGAATGGAGTTGAATAGGTGAGTGGTTTTGAATAGCTTGGTGGTTAAGGTGCTTGCCTTCCAATTCCAGGGTCCTGGGTTCAATTCCTGTCAGTGTTGCAGGATGCTTCTCACGAGCAAAACAACTCCACTCCCTAAATCTCATATTGAGATTAAGTTTGTGTAAAGCATCGTATTGTATTTTATGTTTGTCTTGTGTAGGGAAATGTCATCTACAAGTAGGACAGTGATATATTTGCTACTGACAATCCTTGGCACATGTATTTTGTGCCTAAATAAAATAATAAAATAAACATACAAGTATAAAGCTATATAATTGATTATTATTGTTGTTGTTATTATAATTAAAAATAATAAATTAATAATAATAATTATTATATGACTTTTCCTCTTAAGTAGTTCCTTCATTTTAAAAATATGTTACCCTTTTTTGTTCCCTTTTAATATTTTTCATTATCTTAAAATTTTGTAGGCCTTCTATAATTTTAAAATTTTCTGTGCTTTTTGATGGAATTTTGATGTTGATTTTTTCCCCTTTTTTTCCCCCCTTGGCCAATTTTTATGGGTTTTTCTTGGAATTGTTCTTTTTGCGAGCATTGTAATTTCTTTGTTGATTTCATCTGGCGGCAATATATTTTATCTTTTATCTTGTACCTTAAACATATTGTTTCAATTTCTTCACTGATTTTACTCTTACCTTGATTCTGACTTTCGTTAATTGTACAGGTGTTCCTCTACCAAAGAACATGTTCACCTGGGTTTTCTCGGAAATGTAAGCTGGGATAAAATGATAAGAGTAATAACAATAGTAACTCTATATATACACACAATTAACAACAAACAATAGTAACTCTATATATACACACAATTAACAACATATATATACATAAAATATGGTGGAGGTAAGATAATAAGGCTATAAAAGTTAGGATATTTCATGGATGAAGTTTGTTTTGTTGTTATTATTCTTAATATACACTATAACAATAGCAAGTATAGTAATAACAAAAGGAACAACAATACCAACTGAAGTAATAATATGATATAATACGATATATTTTATTACGTCCAAAAGGAAATTCATTGGTACATGTAGAGTAAAGTTCTCTCAACAAAATCAAAGAAACCCAACAATAGCAATAGCAACTATATAATAACAACATAATAAAAACAAAAATATAATTATGATGTAGACAGGCAAGATAATAAGGTTATAAATACATGAATTGATGAGGCTAAGTTTTACTTACAGTGTTTCTTGAGTAAAGTGTCTCTTACAGAATTCAATGTCTTTAGCATTCTTCCAACAGGGAACTCCAATTTGTGATTATCTAAGTAATAATAAAATATAATTTTTATAATATCACCACATATTTTTCTTTCTCAAATATACAGAAAACTAATTAACATTATGATAGTTTTACTTTAAATACATTCTATGGATCAACTTAATTGCGAAAATAAATGTTTGTAGAAAACTGAATATCAGCTAATAAGCAGCGGTGGAGCCAGAGATTATCCAACAAGATGTCTGACATGTTTGACGGAAGAGTCTGAACCCATCGCCAACTAGAGCCTCAGTCGACGACCCTAGTAGCGTTGATGATAAGAGTTCTTATGGCTTAGTATGGTCTAAATTCTGCTTTTAGACCATAATATTAGAGATTAGCAATTAAAATAAAGTTATTTTGATAGGCAAATTATAATTATTTTTGTTTTTGATCTGACAACCTAGTCGTGGCATCGGATGACAGAGTCTAGGTCTGTTGGACAGGCTGGCGCCACTACTGCCAACAAGCCGACATTTTTTTAATCAAAGCTAAACACAGCAAGCTAGATACTTGTACTTTAATGTGGTACTTTTATTTACTACTCACCAAGGGCATATTCAAGGGCATGTAGAATGCCAGCCACATTGCCGCGAGCTAACGCTAGTTCCAGAGCTACGATGAATCCTTTATCATCAATATCACCAGAACAAAGATCTCGAGACACAGTGCCAATGAAAGTTTCCAGCTGATCGAGGACGGGACCACTTAAATAAGATGGCCGCTCAGCTGAGGCTGAACTCAAAGACAGGGGCTGCATATGGCTGAGGGCAATCCTGAAATTAAAAAAAAATAACTAGATATGCTTTTTTTAAGCTGTGCAGTAAGACCATAGCCACCCCCTTTGTGTAATTTTTCTCTGAAAATTGTAGGAGTTTGAAACAAATCAGACTTACCAAATTTTAGTGGTAATTAGCTTAAATTACATGATTAGTGAAATGTTATTCATGCAAATGAGCAATTAGCTGTTCACACACATGATAGGATCCATCTTCTTACTAATATCTTGTATTGTGCAAAGTATGAAGCTAATTGGACTTACCAAACTCTAATTATCGTAGTAAATAGCCTAAATTACTAATTAGTGAAATATTAATTATGCGAATGAGCAATTAGCTGTTCACACATATACCAAAAACAATAGGCTCCGTCTTCTTAGTAATATCTTGTATTGTGCAAAGTATGAAACTAATTGGACTTACCAAACTTTAGTTATCGTAGTAAACTTCCGAAATTACTAATTAGTGAAATATTAATTATGCAAATGAGCAATTAGCATATTCACACATGTACGAAAAACAATAGGCTCCGTCTTCTTATTACCATCTTGCATTTTGCCAAGTTTGAAACCAATCGGACTTACCAAACTTTAGTTATTGTGGTAACAAACAAATGGCCAACAGAGAAGACGACAACAACGGCATGAAGAACAAAGGTAAAAACAATAGCCTCCGCGGAGCTTCGCTCCTTTGGTGAGGCTAATAAAAAGCAAAGACTTCAAGCCTAATACACAGACTGAATGTCTGGATAATACACTAACACAATTAAATACAATACTCTGTATATTTAAATAAGTTATTAAATTTCCAATTAAAAAATACAAACAAAATAAAATCCCTCAAATAAGGCCTGTCCAGAATATAAAAATTATATTTCACAAAAACATGCCTAAATATGGTCATGATGACATCACACCATGACCATATACAGGCACATCATGACTATATATGGAAAAAATGATAATCTGGACAAAGCTTAATGGATGAATATTCTTCAAGATTATTAGCGCAACACAGAAACTGTTTTCTAAATATTTCTGTCGTAACAATTTTAAAAAGATAAAATATTAAAAAACTAGTGGGCTTACCTTGTGTGCTCTATAATACTATCTCGGAGATGAGGTGCTATTGGCATGGTGGCTGTCGCTGTGGATGCCAAGACGGAGAAATACCAAACAGCCGAGGCATCTTTGACGCTGACTTTTGGACTCTGTACAACCCTAAAAAGTAAGAACAACTCATTCATTATAATTTTTATTTATTATTAATACCGGTAATAATATTATTAACATTATCATTAGCACTGTGACCATTATCATTAAGTACTATTCTTTATGCTAATATGTGGCAAAGATAAGGAAACCAGTCACTCATCGCAATTCGTGTTTCAGAGATGTCAACATTTTTGAAATCTATTTTATTGCACTAAATTAACCTTAATATCTATACATCATTATATGCTGTTATTTCCCCATTTCCAATGTTAAAACAACAATTTTTAACAATTCGGTGAAAATTTCTAACTGAGAAATGCCTGAAATCATAAACTTTGAAGGCTGATTTCTCAAAAATTGTTTTTTTAAACAGCTGTATGTTTAAAAGCTTCATAAGGAAATTATTAATTATCATTACTAATGGTTAGTATCGTGTAAATTATTCCTATAAGGGTTCAAATGTTACCTAAATCCTAGTGCCTTAAGTCCGTGGATCCTGGTATCGCATCCATCTGAGTGACATCTTAGAATATTTATCTGCACGTATGGCGCTGTGATGCGAGCATTCTGTATAAGAACTACTTCATTCATTGCATGCCTGCAAAATAAAAAAAAAACTGACATAATTTTTTAAATGGCATGATCTAAACCAGTTGGCATTGATCCTAACATATGAAATGACTTTTTGAAGCTATATTTGAAGATGTTTCTAAAAGGCAATGGTTAAATAATATTAAAAGAAGATTTGTTATTTATTAGATAGTTTCAATCTAATAGTTTTAAACAAAGGAATAATATATATTATAAATCAAACTGGTTTGATCTTGCTCAAAAAAAGTCGTCCCTGAATGACTACATTAGATAAAAATACAAACCTAGTTTTGAGTCATACCGCCTAGACAAATGCAACTTTTCAGAAGTGGCTCTTTAATTAAAAGCTTGATCAAACTCACTTCATTTAGAAGATTGCATGGAAGCTTGGTTAAATTTAAACACAGGCCTTTGCGAAATAAAATTTTACATCTGGTAGTTTTAAATGATTATTGTACAGGTTTTTGTGTAGCTGTGCGTGTTTCATTTCATTACAATAATTTAAATGGTTTTGTTTTAATGTTAAGTTATTTTACCGGTATTTAGTTTTTAGTGTAAGCTGTTTTCGAACCTTCTGTTTGCTTTCATTTGTTTATATTTTATATTGTTCTTGGGTGCACTATCAAAGAGATTAAATAAATCTTGAATTACAAAAAACCAAACACTGATATTATCTCTACAAAAAAAAAATCCTAAAGACTAACCCTTGTATTCGCAAATCTTTGACCTCTTGGAGTGTGGAAGGGGTGCGACCCGTCAAGACAGAAACATGGTGTGGCATGTAACTCTGATCCGCTCTGTTGACATATATTGACAGATACTGGAGTACAACATCATTTTTAAGTCGAAGGCGGATCCAGTGTGAACCTGTGGCTCCATCCGATTGCCAGTAAGTTGAGGTGTTGTTGTCTGTGAGTCTGAAAAAATATAATAAGTTAATTTTTGTAAACTACATTTTCGTTTTTTATGTGTTGATCTAATAATCAACAGCACTGTACTACTTCGGGGCCAATGGTACATAAATATAAAACAAAACTGTAAATACCCTTTTGTTTCACGATTTTATAATTTGGAATATTTTGCCGCCTTTTATTTTCGTGATTTCACAATTTCTAGTCTGGCATTATGTATTTTAGCCTCTATTTTATAGCTTAGAGCTCCAGATTTTGGTAAGTTGCTCCTGATTTTTACTAGCAGTCTCCTAACCTCCCAATATTTAGGCTAGCTACCATAACATAGGTGGGCATACTGCGGCTATTTCAGAACAAAAGGGCTTTACATATATTTTGAATACACATAAAAAGTCAAACTTTTACAAAGCAAGGCATCTATTTAGAACTAAACAATGCAAAGATAAAAATTATTATTCATTATTATATAGCCGAAAAATTCCAAATATTTGCCCGAAATAACAAGAGCCACTGCCTAAAAAAATTCTAGAATCAACATTAAAAGACACAGCCAATTACCTTCCGACATCTCTGTTGTTAGTCGATACTTGAATCGTTTTGAAGCATCGAGTTATCTGTCGAACTTCTTTCCCAGTTGCATCAGCCAGTTCTTTAGCAACTAAATTTGATATTTGGAGAAAGAAGAGTGATATAGTCTATGAATGATATACCTAGATAAACCAATTGTACCTTTCAATCACAACTTCCATAAAAAATAATCTAAATATCCATATACCTTGTATAGGCAGTCCGAGAGACTTTTAAACAGCATAAAACTCAACAGTTCATGATGTTTCTATACAAACACCAGAACAGCCAATTCTAATTTGTTTCAGGGGCTATTTTGCCAATTGTTAGTTTATTTTAGCAAGTCCAAAATTCCATTTTATTTATTTAGGCACACAACACACAGACAAGAGATTGTCAACAGTGAACATATCGCTGTCCTACAATTCCTTTCACAAGACAAAACACACACTTTGCTTTACACAAACTAAATCTCAATATGAGGTTTAAGGAGTGGAGTTGTTTTGGTTGTGAAAAACATCCTGCAACACTGACAGGAATTGGACCCTGGGATTTGAAGGCAAGCTATTCAAATCCAATCCATGTCTAAATGTTTGGATTATAAATACAGTGTCCACCAATCCAGGTTGTGTCTAAAGTTTTTGCTTGCAGTTTGAAAGGAGTTATATGATTACAGACATATTCTGATATACCAACTACTTACCGTTACCCTTTTGACGATCAAAGTGGTTCTTGAGGACCGACAGTCGCATAGAACAAGTGTTGTTGAATCCCTCAAGGATAGGGAATGGGAAATTGGTACTAACAGCTCGGTTTTTCAGAACATACTAAAAAAATACATACAGACATAGATTACCTAAAGCGCACTAAATACTTTATAATAACGGCAGGTGATTTTGGATCATAATTGGGTAAGGGCACAAGTGATTTTTTGTGGCCTTCGAAAATGAATTAAAAACTCTATGTGTGCTGTTCGCCAACCAACACCAATCATCTCTAAAAATTAATATCAATTACTAAGCATAAACCAGCATCAACCAATGTAAAAGCAATGAATGAAGGTTTTTTGGAAGCGCACTAGAAACATACAATTTTGGGTGTGGCCCCAAGTGTTAAATAAAAAATTTACTTTGGCTCTCCAATCAATTTTTAGGCCTACCACCGGGTAAGGTCAGTCTTCCTGCAGGGTGGGGCCATTTAATGTAGCCTTATACATGTTTAGTCCTCTCCATTTTTTCCCTATTTTTAATTGACAATGGTATTAACTATATTAAGATTCACAAGTGAAAATATAAAAATTTATGAACTTCACATAACTAAAAGGGAAAAAATAGTATTTGCCAAATAACATCCATTTTCTTTATTATATCCATACAATAATAATAATAATAATAATAATAATAATAATAATAACAATAATAATAATAATAATAATAATAATAATAATACCAATAATAATAATAATAATAATTTCACTTATAAAGTGCCTTTTTTTCACAAATCACAGACATAAAATAAAGTCAATATTTTAAAAACAAACAAACATAGGTCTTGAGTAATATTTTAAATGGTGTAATTTTTGAATTTGAATGCTTGACTTTGGATAGAAGTAAGTGGTATAGTACTTATTGTCTTGAACTATTTAATTGTTGTTTTTTTTTAATCAACATATAATTAGTATCCACACATTAGACAGTAGAGAATATTCGCAACTTTAGAAAAACGATAATGAATATGTCATCTTCATTAACTTCATTTGAGCCTTAAACATTCTTGAAATTACATATACGAGTGAATATGATCGTTGATTCATGCATTTGGCAATGATGGCCTACATTGCGACAGATTTGCTACTCTTGTTGGATTGACTAAACATTTGACGATGTAGCTGTATTGGTTGTTTTCGTAAGCTTGCGAAACCTCCCTACTGAAATTTACCTTCAACAGCCTTTTGCCATGCTGTAGACTGTTCTTACACCCTCTGGAGTAAATATCAATCAAACTAGGGATAAGGGTACATGCTTGTAAAGCACGGATTGAGTAGTTGAGGTCGCCTTGGAGGCAGGCGCCGTTTGATGTCCGAAGAGCATCCAACATAGTCTGAACTTCTGCTTGTCCCTCGTCATCAGCATCGAATTGATCAAAGGCCTGCGGAAAATGAAGATAGAATCTGGATCATAATTCCTGGAAAATTTGTTATGATGGTCAGAGAGATGTTTTCGATGCTTGCAGTAGCTAAAACGTGTGTTTAAGGACACATGAGTACAAATTCATTGCTATGATTTGGATAACTGTTAATATGTTATTGCCACCCAGAACGTTCATTAAATCCTATGACTGCCAAATATAATGCATTAGAATGGGAAAATTTTGCTTAGCACTAATTGTTAAAATCCAAGAGAAATTAAAATTCCAGGAGAAAATCTCGAATTTCCTGGAGACTAGAAGATAAACTAAAATTCCTGGAAACTAAAGGTCAATCTGGGAGAATTGGGAAATGAAGATAAAATTAGGCTGATGGACATAAAGATAAAATCAAAGATCTGGAAGAGTGAAAAAAAAAAATTATACTAAATAGTATGATTCCTACCTGAACACATTCTTCTCTGCCAACACCCCTCTGGTGCAGAAAATCACAAAACTGAGACAGTGTAACATGAGTCTGAAAAAAAGGCAAGAAATAATATTCATTCGTCATTCAAGATAACATCATTGCCAGGAAAGAGAATAGGCTATTAGCCTGAACATAATTGTAAATGTAATCACTATTACTTGTATCACTATTATTCAGTATCATTATTGTATTTAACAATTTTATTCTTTATAATATATGTTTATTTTTAACCTACCATATTTTAATGTTCTCCTGTTTTAATGTTTTTTTAATTGCTCTGTTAAATTTGAACGTAAATATTACTGTAATTTGTAAATCTCCTGTAATTCAGCCTTTTGGCTGCTAGTTGAAGATCAATAAAGAATAAAGAATTCCAATTCAATAATTTATCACTTAAGCCCATTGGTCAATGCTTAAGCACTAACCAAACTATCAAATTTTATTTAAAAAAACATGCCCAAATATGGTCATCATGACATCACACCATTGCCATATATAGGTACATGACTATATATGGGCATAGGACAAATTTTTTGTCAAAGAAAATGTTATAATCCGGACTGAGCTTAGTAGTTACCTCGCTGCAGTAGACTCTCTCATTTAGAAAGCGAACTAGGTTGCCATGGTGCTGCTGAACTACAGTTTCTGGTATATCATCCCTTAATGGAGGAAAAAAATATTAAAATTATTAAAAACAATAATACATATGATTACATTAAATTAAAAATACTATTAGAAAATAAAATAATATTTACAATATTACAAATGACAAAATTGACTACATTAATAATTCATATATACTGTACAAAAAAAAATTTTTTATATAAGTATTATTAATATATTTATTAATAATAATAGCCTTTATAAAAAACTACTAGTACTAACACAAAAATATATAATTTTCATAATATTACAAATGACAAAAATTATTTTATTTTTTCATTAATATTATAAATAAAAAACATAATTTGTTCATATTAATATATTATTATTATTTATTATTAATAGTCTTTATGAAAATAATAAAAAAACTATTGTACAGAATACAGAATTCAGATACCATACTCATGCGAATAAGCGCACCGTTTAAATAAGCGTTCCTCTTGAATAAGCGTCCCTCCCCCAAACATGAAATAAGCTCCCCTTGGTGTTTATTTTTTAAAGCATTATTTGTGATTGATTTTTTTAGCAAACGATAATCTAACTAATCCTGATTTGAGCTGCGGAGTGGATTCATATTTTCTTCTTATGTCAATTTCAAAATGAGGATATTTTCTCATGGACAGATGAGAGCTCCCATGGACAGTATCTTTCCAAATTTCCTCTTCTTACATTTGTCTACTTCTCTTTTTCTTTTCCCGACAATTTGCACCTTTGGCACGTTTTCATGCGAGTTTGCAAGAAGCCCTCCAATGATCCTGCTAATCTCAATCGGCAGATGGCCAACAAGCTTATATACACCACCACAACTATTCATCTGCTGCTGAAACTCAGTCAATTCTTGTCTCGAGCCATGCTCTCTGGACGATTATCATTTTTGCACAAGAACCATTCGTAATCTTCGGTTTTCGGTTGTTATATAATTTTTTCATTCAAAAATCGCCCATTAAATTTCCCATGTTCCCAGAAGAACCCCTAAATTTTCATATATTTCCATAAATGCCCCCTCAATTTACAATCTGTTTTCGTAAGCGTCCCGTTTCAATAAGCGCCCCTCAAAAAGGGCAACAAATATTTTAAGCGCCCAGGCGCTTATCCGTGCGAGTAAAAATATCATTAAGTATTTTAAAATGGTACAACTTTAAATTGCTAATATATATATAAGAATATTTCAAAAAGTGTAAAAAATTAAGTTACATACAAATACTGTAAATTTCATGATATAAAAATATAATAAGATAAAAAATACAAAGGAAATTTGACAAGCAACTAACATCAACGCATACAAACAACTACTCAAAAATCTTTTTAATTTATATTTTGCTTAATCCCAGATTTAAACATATTGAGGGTTTTAGCAAAATGCGCTCAAGTATTATTATTATCTCTGCCAGGAGATATGTTTTCAATTGTGTAAGTTTGTGTATGTGTTTGTGTGTGTTAAAAATATCTCAATATGGAATTTACAGGGAGTGTCAAAGTAGGTATGACCGATGGTCGAGGGGGTGGGTGAGGTTTGGTTTTGGGGTGGAAGCTGGGTTGGGGTGGAGGTTTAAAATTAGGTTTGGGAAATAAAATTTATAGAAATGGATTTGCAGGGGGAGGAAATGTTCTCTCCTAATTCTATTATTATTATTAAAGAAAGAATTGATAGTGCTTAAAATATTTATATAATAAAAATAATATTTACTATAAATAATAATAATTACTGTATATAAATATAAAATATTAAAATACATTTAACACAAACCTGATTTTAGATGCTGCTTCTCTCAAAGTAGAATGACTAAACAACATACCAAGGGTGAAGTCTTTGGGATTGTGATCCACATCTGAAAAAAAACACAGAAAAAACTAGAGCATATTCAGGCACAATATTTTCTGCTGCGCCAAACCCTCAAGAAAATAATGGAATCACTTGTAGTATACAGGCACAGTATTTTCCTCAGTGATGCAGCATACCTCCGCCCTGTCCCTGAATAAAAGGGGCGATTTTATCATTTTTTGTTTATGATCGCGGGTAAAAAACTGAATTTCCATGACATTGAACTTTAACATTTATTTTGAAAATTTTAATCATCTCTTGCGTCACTAAATTTTATAACAAGACCTATTCATTAGTTTTTGCATAATCTTGCTAAAAGACAGACAGATAGACACCTTTTCTTGTATTTTGTCTTATATAACAGACTTACAAATGAAGTTAAACAAAAAGTAGCTAAATAATCGGTACAAAATTACAAGGACTTAACTGTACTATGTGACAAAGTTTCATTAATAAGAAATTTGAAACCAGATGACACTCACCTACTTCACAACTCTGTTGTTGTAAAAGCATCCAGTAAATTAGGAACGCCATTTATCACAACTACTGTAATAAGTTTAGAGACTCAAAAACAAAGCGTTTTTACGATAAGGCCAATATTATCTGTACCTGTGTATTACATCGTTTTGTGCATTTTTGTGACATTGTATAGCTAAATTTATTTTTTGATTTTTAAATTTATTATTTACTTATATCTTTGTAACAAGGAAGACAATTTTCATGAATTCATGACATTAAAATTCATTCGATTCTACATTATTATTCACTTGTCTTGTTCCATATTTTTTAATTTGTGGGAAAAAACACTATAAAGAAACCAAGCTGATGACGGTAAAGACCTATAATTGAAAGACTAAAGCCGGACACTCAACGCTCAAGGCAGTTGTCGACAGACACAACTCCATCAAGAATGCAATGCCTCAATGAGCGCAATGGATCGTTTTTAATGACAATCCATTCAGACACCGACAATGAGCAGGTCCTGCTATGTAGGCTGGCGCTCACAGAAAGCAGAGAGTAGGATTCGCCATACGATGACTGTACAACCGTTGTACAGCGCAGTGAACATCTGGCTTTACCAGTATTGATGCCAGATGCGGCCTGTCTCATAAAAACTATACTAGAAATTGCAAATTGCAAGTGAAGTGCTGCAAAGTACAACTGCATATAAATGTTGTTCGAACAAAATTATTTATGCGAGTCAAGTGAAAATAATGAATAATAAAAATATAACAAATAATATGGGACACGACCCATTGTCTATATTAAAACACTTCTCATTGGGTAACAAAGTCGTAATTTTTTTATTTTTGTCAAAAAGTGTCTATAGTGGTCAATTATGGTTTAGGTTTTTTTTAATAAAGTTTCAAAAATTTCTATGTATGTGGAAAATGTAGTTGATTACCAAAGGTTACAATTATTATTTTGAAGACTGCATGGTCTAGGAAGTGTACATTTTTTTATGGGGCAAGTTTCCAAGGGCGGTTTTTCTAGGGGCGAGTTGACTGCCAAAGAGTGTTGCCAAAGTGCGAGCCAGCGTGTTATTTGATCACAAGTGCGAGACATCGCAAGTGTGAGCCAGTGAGCCATGACGTCACGACAATAGATAGAGACGTTAACGAGTTGTGCGAGGTATATAAAAGCTAAAAAAACATAATGACAGGTTTCTGAATCATGTTAAAAAATAGGCTCCCAGCGTGAGCATGTGTCTACTGCCTAATTCTATAGAAACGATGACTGTCTCTTATACACATCTAGATGTGTATAAGAGACAGGGCCTAGAGAGCGCGAACATGCGGACGTTGGTACGAGTAGGTTAGTCTACAAACGTCGCCTAAATTAATTGATTTTACCCAGCAGAACGAAAGAAGGAAACTCCGCTTTTTAGTCGTCTTAGGCACTTGTTTTTTGACAAACAATGACCTTTCAGAGGTCAAATTGCTGTCAAGAATATGAATTGGCTGCTTCGCAGCAATAATTTTCTAATTTTGAAAAGCTTTGTAAATACTTCTGTTGGATTGTTGGTCTGGTTCAACTGTGAAAGTCACCGACTTCCTTACTATATGTATAGTAAGGAAGTCAGTGGTTCCTAGTCTTTAAGGACTTGTTCTTGTAAAGTGGCCACTTAATAATCGCTTATAAAAAAAATTAAAAAAAATTTGTCAGTTTACCTGTTGTACTTGCAGTAGAAGCAACAACACGATAACTTTCCACGGTCTGTAAGGAAGAAAAATGTTGAATTCAACAACAACTGCACTCCCAATGTTTGCGATGATTGCAACTATTATTAAAAACAGTTTGGAAAAAAAACAAAAAAAAACCAGACTGGACTGGAACTAAAACTGGGGTGTTCTGATGAGGAAACCATCGTCCAAGATGTTGAACAATATAAATTGTTCATCATAGTTATACCTGAATTAAAGACAAACATAAGAAGAGTGTAGTCACACTAAATTTCACGCAAGGCCGAAACTGTTCCATTGGACCAGGTTGGCATTAAAATTGCCTATTAAATGCAGTTCCGTCGATAATGATCGATAACGATAACAATCGATAACGATAACAATAAAAAGCTAAAAAGTAATTTTTCATACTGGAAATAAAAGAAATAAAAGTAATTACACGAGGATGATACGATAAGGATTATCGTATATACTGTACAATAAAAAATAATTTCAACAAATCAATTCAAATGATGCCATAATCATCGAACAACCTGTATTCAACATGATGGCAGCATTTACTTCCCCCTACTACTAACAATTGGCCTTAAATTTTTAATTAATATACTGTATATTTTATAAATTTCATTCTGGTGTGACGGTATACATTTTTATAGTAAATTTTAATTGAAGAATTTTTAATTTATTTATAAGCTATATCCTAACTACAAGTAGTGCCAAAGAGTATAAATAGAACAAGAGAGCAAAGTCCCATTCGTAAAAACGTCACGCCTGTGTAGGACGCCCACTAACAGTTGTATGTTCTTTTTATTACCCAGTGCAGCGCTGCGCAGCGCGGTAGAAGTACGCCCGCTATAAACTCAGTAAGCAGAAAACAAAAGTACACTACCTTGTGGAGGACATATAAACAGACAAACCGAGCGTGCGCGGTGGTGTACTGGGTAATAAAAAACATGCAAGCGTTAGTTGGCGTCCTACACTAGCTGCGTAGGGCATATCGTTTTTTTACGCTCTCAATGAGAGTTGTTGGCTCTCTTGTTCTATTTATACTCTTTGGTAGTGCCTAGAGACTGTTTTTGTTTGAAACAGTGTCAGGAAAACCAACTTTTGATAGTAATTCATTTGGTTTACCTTCTTTCTTGGACTCCCTTCTCACCTCACTCAGGTTCAGCACTGTTTTTCAATTTGTAACTGATTTTTTTTTTTAAGCTTACCTTACAAGAAAAATTATAAATGAAATTAAATGCCTATTAGATTACTACTCAGTTATACTTGAGTGTCTAGGTATAGACAGGCGCAATCCTGGCGATCGAAGTGGCCAAGACCGTGTCTAGGCCTTGCCTAGTAGTAATAGTCTAGCCTATCAGGTTCCACGGAAAGAGGATGGCCCTTCCTTCTTGAATACGTTTTTGGTTGCTTGGCATGTAGGCCTAGGCCCTGGGTGTCCGAAATTACTATTGATTGTTTTGAACTCACAATATCAGTACTGGTTGTTTCATCATCGCTGTCGCTTCTACTGCTGCTACCACTACTTCCCATCATGGATGTAATCATGTAAAACTTGTTATTTAAAAATAGTCATGCTAACATTTCCAGCCAAATTCAAAGTAGTTGAGCCTCTAACTTTTGCGGAAGCAAAAACACAGGGCGCTGACATTTTGTTGGAATCTACCATTTCAATGAAGGTTGATTAATCCAAATATATTTAATGTATGATATCTTGCCTTTACAAAATGACTATATTATTATATAATTATTTTGTTATTTCATAATTTCCAAGCTGAAATATAACAAATGTAGCCTATAAATAATATTTGTGACTCCCTTTGTCGACCGCTTAAACTAGAGCTGTGTCAGATTTCAAGTGGTGGGTCCAGGCTATGGGGTTTTCCAAATCAAATTTTCAGGAACGGGGATACTGTCTGTATGTAGCCTACTAGTACTGTATTTTATCTCATTGCTTTGTTTTTTTCTCCTTTTTATTTTGGTCTAATTAAAATAAACGGTGGTTGTTTAACTTTTTTGGTAGGACTGGGCCTATGTTTGTTTTTCTTGAATTGCCTCCTATAGTATTATATCACTATTAAAGGTAAGACCAATGTTGCATTCGGTAGTGGCTATCGGCACTGCCGCAGTGCCGTTTTGGCACTGCCGCAGTGCGGATAAAGCTCCTGTCTTCTATCGGCACTGCCGCAGTGCCAAAAAAGCTCCTGTTTTCTATCGGCACTGCCGCAGTCTAAAATTTGCTGTAAAATCGGAATTGATGGTGTGATCGATCTTAAATCGATAGCTGAGTACAATATTGTATCATTAATTGATTAGGCACCTAGGCCTAGGCCTTAATGAGAGATAGGGCCTAGCCACCCTAGGCCTAGCTAGTCTAGGCCATTCTAGCCTACTAGGGCCTAGGCCTAGTAGGGCAAAGGCACAGGCCCCTAGCTAGGCTATTCATCGGTAGGCCTAGGCTAGTACCTACCTTTATTTAGCTAACCTAGACCTAGGCTTAGGATAAATGAGTACCTTGTAAGTTATCGAAAACCAGTTAATTTTTCTTGTTCTTAGTTGGATGACAACCCTTTCATGAGGCATAGGCTAGGTAGGCCTAGAAAAATTATTATGAGGGAGCAGGTCAGGAACTCGGCCACAAAAAAGTTCGGCTGCAGTCAACTCGGCTACAAGTTGTTTAATTAAAATGAAATGTAAATATTCCAGTTTCTGCATCCTTTTTCTTCAATATGATTAAAATGAAGTACACAGTGTATTTTAGTAAAATTCTGATCATCGTCTCATCGTCGTATACATTTCTTCACACTGTACTCTTATTCAACAGAGAAAACCCGCCACTTACAGAATGGAATAAAATCTGATTGTAACATTAACAATTTAAGCAATCTTAATAATTAGGAAAAACACATATATTAATGTTTAATTTTGTTCACGTTAAAACACTGAC